ACACACACACACACACACACACACACACACACACACTCGCACCAAAGCTATATACACATAAACACGCACAAATTTACACACACAGAGAGAGGGAAATTTTTTCACCTACAATATAACTATGCGCATAAAGACACTCGGACTGGATGGCCCCATCCAGGCGGGACTCGCCCCGCCATCCAGTCCGAGTGAAGCGGAGAGAATAAGTTTTGTGACCAAAAACTGGGTTTATATAGGGGAGGAATCTGGGCGTAGCCAGGGCAGGAGGTGTATGGATGACCTCAAAGGGCTGTAAACTGCGCCTACTCAGATATGTTATTTTTGATTTCAGCTCAATAAGTCTAAGAGCGTGCCGGGTACAATATTTTTTTTTGTTCTGAGGTCTAGCATATCACATATGGGTGACCTTATAAATCATGAAAATCCTTCTCTACTACTTTTTTTAAGTTCCAAAGTAACAGCTACGCAGTAACATAAGAAAATGCTACAAAATGGGAGTGGAATGATATCCCCAATTACAGGATGGAGAAGGAGAGTACTGGGCAGGAGTTCGGGCAACAGCTGGAGGCAGCGGTAAAGAGAAAGGGACAACACAGCATCACAATGAAAAGTAAATTCAAGCAAATTGAGATTATGAATAAAAGCGAAAATAAAACTAAATCAGAAAATCGGGACCTATGAATAAAAATAAAAAAAAAAAAAAAGCCAAAACGAAGACAACTGAGTCAACGCAAGTGGGAAATGTCTTACAAAAACTCGTCGTCAGTAGGGAGCTTCCCCATTTATGAGCCTGACACTTAAGTGAAAATGAAAGCGAATAGGTTCGATAAGATTTACACAGAAATTACAAACAATTCTAATGCGTTGCCTTTGACAGCCTGCAAACGTGTACAATACTTACACCCCTTTTTCTGCCTCCAAGATCTTACACAAGCAAAGGCTGATTCCACTCCCATGTAACCAGTGTACCACTCTTTTTGCATTGTTCATGTCCTACATTGGGATTTATTCGCTCTCACCTTCACCTAAGCATCAACTTCATAAATATGGAAGTCCCTTATTAAAGATGAATTTTTATAGGACAATTTCCACTCGTATAAGCTGTTTTTTTGCTTTTATCCACTGGCGTAGATTTTTTCAACTTTGCTCCCCTCCAAATGTACATGACCCAGCCAATCCATAAAAAATCTACACCATGAGCCATTAAACCCACCTATCCCAGACCCTGCCCTGCCTCTAACAAAACCTGCACCACCCCATCCCTTATCTGTCACGCCTGAACTCATGCCGCAAGCCTTGGACGAAACACACCGATGCCGTCGCCAAGAAAAAATTTTCGCAACTCTTGTATGACACCGGCCGGGCCGACTTTTGTAATTGCCAAAACTTGGCTCGGGCAGGCCGGCGAAGAGGTGAAGTGTTGAGAGTTGGGGTAGCGGAGAAGGGAGGTGAAGAGGGGACAAGGCGGGGTTATTGACCGCGAAGGAGTTGGGACCTCTGCTTTGGTGGTAGAAGTCGGGGGCAGGGACGGGGTTTATGAGGTAGGTGTTCCCATAAATTTTTCATGCTCAACCCGAAATTTGATGGTGAGGGGAAATCAGCAACTGTGAACGCTTTGTGCTTGGAACCTTAACTGTACAAGAAGCTGGTACCGGTGTTTCCGCAGTTCGAATCCGGACCCAAAAATGGGCTTGTTATTATTGCGCGGCTGAGCCAAGTTTTAGCAGTTATCCAGTTCTCTGGAAAAGCGGAGAGAGGTGAAGGGGTATGCAGATCCAGCCGCTTGTAGACGATTTCTGGGCAAGCTTGCAGCTGCTGGATGAATCCAGAATTCGGTTTCCTCACGCTCTGTCTGAGTGGAGAAGGCGTAGTGCTGGCACGTGCCCTCAACAGTGCCCGGCTGGGAGGCTCTCTCGATGGTCTATTTAGTGGCAAGCTGCCACAGAAGTGGAATTTGGAGTAAACGGTACGACGAGCGAGTCTGCAGCGAAACTTGCCCAGTGCGAAGGTTCTCTGAGTGTGTACACTTGTCAGATGAGTGTTCAGCAACTGCGCCTCCGAATCAGACAAATTTGCACTGAAAACTGAAGACAGTTATGGTACATAGTAAGGAGAGACCCTTGCACTCACAAATAACTAAATACTCGCAGTTTTTGGTGGCCTCGTGCCTCTTTCAGCAATCCGCAAACTTTTTTCACGCCCTCCCAAACCTTTGGTCGGGTTCGGTTATTAACCAACGATCATTGCTTGCTCTAACTTGCCGACAAAGCTCAATCTTGGGGCGCGCAGCTACTTGAGGTATAAAATTCGCAAAGCTAAATATCACAATCACAAGTGATGGTTCGCATATCCCGTAACTTGCGCCTCCCTCCCCCTCCTCTCCCCTCAAACTCCCCACTGCACATTCACTCCAATCAACATCAAGTCGTGTGCGTGAATAGCCTTGCGAATTATCCCTCAGATATGCTAAAAATTTCAAAGCCAGCTTCTTGCACTGCAGAATCCGTTACAGCGGGTATTCCTCAGAGTGCTATTTGCTCTGAAGCTGCGCTTTGTGAATTTCCTCCCTTCTGAAAGATTCTGCGAGTAGACTGTTTGGAAAGTTTTGGGATTCGAGTCGTTTAGTAATTTAATTTTCGTAACATGCTTGGAACACTTGAAAAAGGTGCAAGTGAGGATATGATTCTCCAGCTATGCAAATGGCAATTTTTCAGTTATTTCGAACAGTGCATCATTAGGTGGTGATCACCACGTTCGTCTTGTCTCACGTTCGTCTTGTCTCTTGAAAGGTTTAACAACCCAGTGGTTATTTAGATGAAACATATCGATGCTTCTCACCTTTGATTTTTACTTTTTCCTTTTTATGCGTATTTTCAGTGCAGCTATAGCGCTGCTACAGCAAAAGCGCACATTATCGAGAGGTCGTCTATGTGTGTGTGTGTGTGTGTGTGTGTGTTCAGAAGCGAGTGAACTTTGTTACCCACTTTCATCTCAGCAACAAGGAAAGCTGGGAGGTTGAAATTTTGGGTGTATTTTCCTGCCGCGTGTGTCATGCTCCCATTTTAAGATCCTCCCGCACACGCGCCTAGACCCCACATACGGACTCTCGAAAAAAATATGCAAATTTCTTTGACAAGAAACGATTTCGCGAACCAGGTAATGTACAAAGCTGAGACTTTACAGGGATATTCTCTGTGCATGATTTCAAATTCAGCTGGCGCACGCTTGTACAGCGCGTACGATCACATCAAAGTTTGCACTTGACAATGTCCTAACTCAAAAACTAGCTAGAAAACAGTGTCTGAAATTTTGTCAACATGTCTGCTGCCCATACAGGAAATCGTGTGCCTAAAATGAATACTGATTTGCACTTGCGCTGCGACTTAGGGCACTTCAAAGATATTTGTAGCAAAGTGAATGTTTAATTTATTGGATAAAATGCAAGGCTGAAGCTTTGCTAGGATATTCTACTTTCACATGCGGTCTTAATTCTGCTTGGAAGTGAAAATTCACTGCTGATGGTCACAAACTTTTCTGAAAAATCAGAAACGAGTGTTTTTTGCAGTGAATGATCGCTCTGATCCAAATATGTAGACCCAGGGTGGAACGCACCGGGCGAACCCGTGCGATAATGCGATTCTGCACCGGACTTGAAGTACTCGGGCCATTAACCGTATGAATGGCTGTTGCTTTACACCTACCTTTTGCGGTCACTAGCATAAATCATCATAAATTTTGC